ATATATATATATATATATACACACACACACACACACACACACACACACACACATACGTACATACACACACACACACACATATATATACACATATATATACACACACACACACACAGATTTAAAATAAAAGGTGGTGCAAGGATAAAAAAATACATAGAAAAGGATGAAGGGTAAGAGGCAACAACATTTTGTATGTGTGTGAGAGAATGAGTGAAAGAGGTACAGTGGTATGGTGATGATAATAAGCAATGATTACATTTTTCATAAAAAGAGCGCAGGGTATTTCAGCCCTGGGTGAACAGTGTGTGGTCCCCAAATATTCAAGATTCCTCAGTCATGCTGTTTATCTAAATTATCTAAATTCTATGACTGTGGATATGACATTTGAATATGATCCCAAAAAGGGATATACTGTGCTCAGCAAGTTCCAGCAAGAACACGTGACTTCATTCACACAGAAAACTTTTACTCACGTCTAGGAATGACAGATAGGACTGCAGTTCAGTCTGTTTCCAGCATCAATATAACAGATAAAGCATTCAGTGGCTAGTGGATTGCTCCTACTACAATCCAAGAATCACCAACATTTCATTTTGCAGACCACTTTTTACTTCCCCTGGTGGAAATATGAGTGTGTTTGGATTCATACAACAGCCACAGATTAGTACAAATGGAGTGCTGACTTCTGCCTGGCTCTAGCTAAGAGCCAGAGAAGCTTAGTGGTATTTACTGTATTTATTTACTGTATTTATTTATACCCCGCCTTCTCACCACGAAGGGGACTCAGAGCGGCTAACAAATTTTGTCTAAAATTCAATGCCACATCATATACACCATAATAAACATACCATAACAAATTATAAACAGTTAAGGAACATATAAATAGCACCAGGAGAGCTCCAGCACCACACTAATGGAGGCTGGGTAAGTTCTTTTATTTTTAAAAGGGATTTTGGGGGGGAGTCGGTTGGGGAGGGGGTTATAGCCCTCTCATGTTTCCTGAGTCAGATTCAGCCTGAAAAACAAGACAGTTGTATGAATGACCCCTTCAGATGTCCTAGGACTTCTGATTGGCCAGTCCAGATAGCGGCCATAGTGGGTTTGCCCCACGCCTTCCAAGAAGGCACAGAACAAACCCACCGACAAATTAATTTGCCGCAAAGCAGGGTTTTCCTGCTTTGTGGCAAATTCATTCATTTTTCTGTGGGATGTCATCTGAATACCCCACTTTAAAACACGGGAGCTCCCACTTTTAAAGAGCTGTCTGTTTGCATCCTGTGATAAACAGTGGTGGCTCCTCACCTATGGAATTCACTCCCCGGGGAGATCAGATCAGCAACATCCCTCCTTTCATTCAGAAAGAAATTAAAGACGTGGATGTGGGACCAGGCATTTGGGCACTCTGGCAGATGAATAAGGGACTGTGACGATGGATAGGAGTTGGACAAGGTGGAACGAAATATGAACTCTGAGTTGGTGAACGCTGTGTCTGAGATTGGCTATTGATTGTGTGATATATTGTTGTTTTTAAGTGTTTTAATTGTTGACCATTTAATTGCTGGTTTTTATATGTTATTGTATTTGTGTAGGCACTAAGATGTGCCTTTTGTAAGCCGCCCTGAGTCCCCCCTCGGAGGTTGAGAAGGGCGGGGTATAAGCACACGAAATAAATAAATAATAAAATGCTTGCAGTGCTTCCTGTTCCCAAAACACTGTCTGAACGTGACCCTCTTTTTTTCAAACAAAGCGTGGGTCAACATAGGCACCTTCTACATTGCCATATATAATCAAGATACTCCAGTCTCTGGATAATGTTAGTCTACACTGCCATATAATCCGGTTCACTGTGGATAATCTGGATTTTATATGGCAGTCTAGAAGGGATCTTTCTTACTTTCAGATGGGCCAGAAAGAGTCAGCCTTGCCAAGGTCATCTGATCCATTTTGTGAAATAAGAGCTTACCTTGAAATTGTCAGAAGTTCTGAAGGGGGTGACGAAAGTAAATGGAGTTGACCATATGGCAGATATCTCGCAGTGGAACATCCCTCATGAAGGAGGTCGAAGCAACCACAGCCCTGGTGGAATGGGCTTTGATGTGTTGAGGCAGCACCTGACCCTCAATTTTGTAGGCTAGTTGAATGGCTGACACAATCCAAGAGGGTAGCCATTGTCGAGAATCAGGGAAGCCACTAGCATCCTTCCTATATTTCAGGAAGAGTCCGGGTAATTTCCTGAACTCCGCCATCCTATGAATGTAAAAGGCAAGAGCCTGCCTCACATCTAAGAGATGGAGGGGGCACTCCAGAGGCGTGTCAGGATTTGGAAAAAAGGTTGGTAAAATTATGTCCTGAGACATATGGAACTAAGATGCCACTTTGGGCAGGAAGGCAGTATCTGTATGCAGCACTACTTTGTCCTTATGGAACAGAAGGTATGATGCGTCGACTTGAAGAGCACACAACTCACTGGCCCTTCTAGCTGAAGCAAGTGGCACCAAAAAAGCCATCTTCCAAGAGATATAAGATCTTATCCACTGATGCCATAGGCTCAAGATGAGTGTGACTCACTGCCTTGAGAAGGAGATCAAGGCATCAAGCTGACAGTTATGGAGTCACAGGAGGGTGAAAGTTCTTACATCTCAGTTGAGTCAAAGACTTTTTGGTAATCAACGTAAGCAAGACAAAGCAGAACTCTATGTTCTTGCATATATACACGAAGGTTATCTGGAAAGTAAGGTTACAAGATTTTTTAAAATACCAAGAATGAATATATTTTAATAAAACTTACATGGATTGTAGCATACGTATTACATTATTTTTCCACATAATCATCATTCAGTTCAATATATTATGTCATCTGTAGAATGTGTCATAGAAGTTTCCCTCCACTTTTTTCAACCAGTTCATCACTTCAATTTTCACCTCGTCGTTGTTGAAAAAGTGTTTTCCATCAGTGTTTCTTCAATTTAGTCACTGGGTACAAGAACAGGATAGCACTGAATATCCGTCGTGAGAGGGGTGGCTTAAAAAATCCTAACAAAACGAAGTCAACAACTCTTGTGTTGCATGAGCAGTGAGCACATTGTCACGAAGGAGACAGAATCCTGCTGCCAGCATCCCACTACGTTTGTTTTGGATGGCTCTGCAAAATTTCTTCATGGTCTCACAATATATTCCGTACCCATTTTGTCACATGCTGTCTTGACATTACATCATCTCCATAAAATGAAATGATTTTGCCATGAATTGCAGCGGCGTTCATGCACTTAGCATTAAGGCAGCGTATTAGAATCATATACTCATTGAGTTGGGAGAGACCTCGAGGGCCATCCGGGCCAATCCCCTGCCAAGAAGCAGGAAAATCGCATTTAAAGCACCCCCGACAGATGGCCATCCAGCCTCTGTTTAAAAGCCTCCAAAGAAGGAGCCTCCACCACACTCTGGGGCAGAGAGTTTCACTGCTGAACGGCTCTCACAGTCAGGAAGTTCTTATTTATTTATTTATTTGTTTGTTTATTTAAAACACTTATATTCTGCCCTTCTCACCCCGAAGGGGACTCAGAGCGGAGCACAACATATACATGGCAAACATTCAGTGCCCGGATACAATACATAAACATTAAAAACATTTATCTAAATATTAAAATACACCATTTAAAATAGCACAGTTTAAAACCGTCCTAGCCATCCGCATCAAATCCAATTGGCCCTGTCATCTTTCCCACTGTCGCTTCATTGCCCTGTCCCGAAAGCTTGGTCCCACAGCCAAGTTTTTACCATCCTTCTAAAGGACAGGAGGGAGGGGGCCGACCTGATCTCACCAGGAAGGGAGTTCCATAGCCGGGGAGCAATCACCGAGAAGGCCCTGTCTCTCGTCCCCACCAATCGCGCCTGTGACAATGGTGGGACGGAAAGCAGGGCCTCCCCAGGGGATCTTAATCTCCGCAATGGTACATAGAGGGAGATGCGTTTGGACAGGTAATTTGGGACGGGGCCGTTTAGGGCTTTATAGGCCAAAGCCAGTACTTTGAATTGTGCCCGGTAGCAAACTGGCAGCCAGTGGAACTAGCGTAACATGGGAGTTGAATGCTCCCTGTATGCCGCCCCAGTTATTAACATGGCTGCCTCTCGTTGGACTATTTGAAGCTTCCAAGCAGTCTTCAAAGGCAACCCCATGTAGAGCGCGTTGCAGTAGTCTATTCTAGATGTAATCAGAGTGTGGACCACTGTGGCCAAGTCTGACTTCCCAAGGTATGGGTGCAGCTGGCGCACATGTTTTAATTGTGCGAACGCTCCCCTGGCCACCACTGCAACCTGGGATTCCAGTTTTTCCTCCTGTTCAGGTGGAATCTCCATTCTTGTAGTTTGAAGCCATTGTTCCATTGCGTCTTAGTCTCTATTACAATGCACTTGGCGGGAAACGGAATGAGGACACTCATCTCTAACCTTCACAACACCAGTGGATGAGCTACTGACAGTTGGCACTGCTCATTCGCTTCCTGCTACATGGCAGTGATTCCAACTTCCCCTGAGAAAATTCCCGCTGAGAGCTGTATACTTTCTAACCTTATTTTCCAGATAACCCTCATATATATATGAGGGTTATCTGGAAAATAAGGTTAGAAAGTATACAGATATATATATATATATATATATATATATATATATATATATATATATATATATATAGAGAGAGAGAGAGAGAGAGAGAGAGAGAGAGAGAGAGAGAGAGAGAGAGAGAGAGAGAGAGAGAGAGAGAGAGGACAACTTATTCAAGCCCTCTGCACCTGAACTTCAAAGGATAGTTTTTTGAGGGGAGTCCAAGCATTGCTTCCCCTCCTTCTTCCCTCAGGCCCATTTCAATACAAGTAGGAAGCCCTCATGAGCCTAGCCCTGCTTCCTTCCTTGTGCCTCATCAGTGTCCTCCTCCTCTCCCTCCAAGATGGTAGGGAAGTTGTCTTCCCCTGGCCCTCCTCTCTGGCAGGCGCTGCTATGTCCTCTCGGTGCCTGTAGTGGTGCTGTGGGAGGCGGCGGGCAGGCGGGCGGCGGCGGCGGCTCAGCCTCTCTGCTCTCCTTCTTCTCCTCCGCGCGCGGCCCCAGCCAGCCCTGCCTTCTTGGCTGCCGAATGCACACATTCAGGGATCCCCTCCATAATCACCTTCCCGCCCAGCACTTTGTAGTTCTCCAAGAGGAAGGCGCGCGCCTCCTCGGAAGCCTCCAAGCCGGGCTCCTCTTCTCCTCCTCCTCCTGCTCCTCAGAGCCAGCGCTGCAGCGACTCCCGCCGCCTCTCCTCCGCACTGAAGCCCATTCCCGGGGAGGAGGAAGCTCTACTCCGCCAGCCCAGCAGAGGGAAAGGAAGGGGGAGAGGAGAGAGAGCAGAGTGGGGGGAAAAAAAGCAGCCGGAAAGGTAAGCCAGGCCCGGCCTCCATCCCCGGCCTCGCGTAGAGCGGCGGGCGGGGCCTCGGGGGCAGGGCGGGCCGCACGGCAGCCTACGCGAGGCCGGGGATTCCGAGCCGCGCACTAGGCCTCGAGGATCTGAAAGCGGGGTTTGGGTCCTGTGGAAAGGGGAGAACTAATTTCTTGTAAAACGGGGGAGTGGAGGGGAAAGAGCGCCCAGGCCGGGCTCTATATCGACGGAGCGGGAAGCAGGCCTCTTGGGCTGAGCACGGGCCTGGCGCTTCCCGCCCCCCGGCCTTTTCTCAGGCTCCGTCCCGCTTTAGGGGTCCGAAGTGGGGCCCTCCGCCGCCCAGGGAAGAGGAGGGACGGGAGAAGAGGCTCCGGGACGGGCCGGCAGGGCCTAGAAGGGGAGAGGGAAAGCCGAATCTATACATATATGTATGTTAATAGAAATGTTTCATTGTATTCAAAATTGTGAACAGTTTCCCCCCATATTCGTGGGGGTGGGGGCACCTCGGCATGGGGAGTGCACTTGGCATATATAATATGTGTGTGTATTATATACAGTATATTATATAGAATATATACAGATATATGTATTATATATATGTATTATATGTATAAATATATGTATATATATATAAATTGTATTATATGTATATATATAAATTATATACTATATAATATATGTAGGAGCTGGGGGTGGTGACGGCCGACAGGGAGCTCTGGCGTGGACTGGTCCATGAGGTCACGGAGAGCCGGAGACGACTGAACGAATGAATAACAACAAATGTATTTATATTGTACTATATATATTATAGTATAATATATATAGTACAATATATAGTATAATATATATATATATTTGTGTATAATATATATATATATATAACAATTATACTATATTTTATATATATATATATATATATATATATATATATATATATATATATATAATACTATATATGTGCATATACATACACACGCACACACACATATATTTATATATACACGTGTGTGTGTAGCCTTGCCCCCTCCCCTACACACACACACTTTTTCATCCTTCCCCTCATCTTTCACATTAGTGGCTCGGCATAGGACGTGGCCTAAAATAAGTTTCTCCCTAAACTGTAAATGGGGAAGGGGGGATAGGGTCCCCCTCTGCTTCCTCGGCCTCCTCTCCTTCAGCCCTTTCCTTCCTCAAACACCACGAAGGGAATGTGGCTTTCAACTTCTTAACTTGCAAACTTTTCAAGATGATGCCCTTCTTGTTATAGAGTTAACCTAATATTATAGAGTTAACCAAATGTTATAGAGTTAGCTTTGAGTTGCCTGTTGTTGTTGTCGTCATCATCATCATCATCATCATTATAACCCAGGTGGGTTTTCAGGATACTTAGGCAGGTGAGGGGTGCAAGGTACCAGCCACCTCTCCTCGGACCTTGTGCCCTTCTGTGTCCCTTTTTGCCTGACTGCTCCGTTTTCCCACTTTCACCATTTCTAGGTGCTGTCACTTGGTGTTTAAGCCATACTGACATGCTGGTTTTAGGCATTTGCTTTGGTAAATGAGGTATATTGCAAAAGAAAGGATGGTTTCTTTGGTTATTATAATTATATTTGTTTATACCCTGCTTTATCTCCCCTGAATGGGGCTCAAAGTGGATGAACATAAAAGCATCAGCATAAGAATTAAAAATATACAAATATATGAGCATTAGAACGGGATTAAATATAACCAGTATCTTTTAAAAATCGCAGTTAAAATCCATTAAAACAAATTCAAAGTTAAAAATCATAGCACCCCCTTAATTGATTTTAAACACTTCTCATTGAACCTGCAAAAAGAAATAATTATCCCCAACCTTGAATTACAATTGTCAACTGTCAGTATGCGCTGGCCCATAAAGAAAGAAAGAATACTAAAAACCATGCATAGTATACATTGAGCATCCCTTATCCAAAACCCAAAATATTTCAACATTGTTCACCTTGGTGGCTGAGATACTGACACCTTTGCTTTCTGATGGCTCACTGTACACAAACTTTGTTTCATGCACGGATTTTTTAAAAGTGTATAAAATTATTCAGGCTATTTGTGTAAATGAATTTGTTATTTAGACTCAGATCCCACCTCCAAAATATATTTCATTTTCTATAGGAAAGTATTCCAGAATCTGAAATAGTCCTGAGCATTTCAGATAAGGGATACTCCACTTGTCCTGTGTTTCGGTGATTATTTTATTAAACGAGCAGTCAGTATTTGTGTGTAAACCCCCAGGAGTAAGTTGTCATAGATTCTGCAAACAAATAAATGAAAAAGATACATTAGGATGGATCTACACAGCTATATAATGCAGTTTGAACTGCATTGAGCTGCATTCTGTGGGTCTATACCAGGGATCCTCAAACTTTTTAAACAGAGGGCCAGGTCACAGTCCCTCAGACTGTTGGAGGGCCGGATTATAATTAAAAAAACATGAATGAGTTCCTAGACACACTGCACATAACTTATATGTAGTGCAATTTTTTAAAAACAATACAATAATTAAAAAGAAGAACAGTTTTAACAAATATAAACTTATTAGTGTTTCAATGGGAAGTGTGGCCCTGCTTTTGACTGATGAGATAGGATTGTTGTTGTTGTTGCTGTCTGCTTTCAAGTCATTTCAGACTTAGGTTGACTCTGAGTTAGGGCCGGGTAAATGACCTTGGAGGGCCGTATTCGGCCCTCGGCCCTTAGTTTGAGGATTCCTGGTCTATACAGACATGGGCAAACTTCAACTCTCCAAGTGTTTTGGACTTCACCTTCCACAATTCCTAATTGTGGGAGTTGAAGTCCAAAATACCTGAAGAGCTGAAGTTTGCTCATGCCTGGTCTATACTGACCATATAATGCCGTTCAAAGTGCATTATATTGCAGTGTAGGTCCAGCCTTAGTTTCAACAGTGAACCTGCTTTTTCCTTGGACAGATCGGTGGTATTATGTAGACTCAATGAAGTCCTTGAAACTGCATTGTATCAACTCATGGACAGGGAAGAGTCAGATCACTGGACATTTTTAAGAAAGGTTGCTTAAGTTCTAGCGGTCAAAATGTGTTCATGAACTTCCCCCTTGAGGTAAACTTTTGGCCACGGTTCAAAGAACAGGGGGTGAGTCCTGTGAAACCTTTTAAGCCACATGTCAGACAGTTTCTTAAACAGAAGTTGGGACCTGCTGTTCATAGCAAAAGAAACTCTAAGGCCTGGATGTACTCAGAGCAGATCTTTTGAATGCAAGCTCATTTGGAGATGCAGGTCTCAGATGTACGAGAGGAACTTTTGTAAGAATTGTCCGTGAATGACCTCTATGGTCCAATTCATATGACTATTTTTGTCCTGTCAGAGACCTGGAATTCAAGGGTGTTTGTGCATTGCATTTATACAACCATTCCTTGTGAGGATAATTCAGAGATATAACTCACATTCATATCCATTTTTAAATCTATGCATGGCATTTCATTGAAGCAGTGGTGGGGATCATTCTTGCCCAAGAACTCCCGGCATGCATCAGCATTGGCTATGCTGGTTAGACCTGCTGGGATTTTTAGTCGCAAGAACACATGGGGAGCTGCTTTCCCCCCCACTCCTGCATTCAAGCCAGTTTGCTTGTAGTTGAGTAAATAAAGGCTAAGGCCTAATCGTAATTTCATAATGTTTCAGATAGGTGTCCTTGTGTGGTAAACGAAGAAGTCAACTGTGTGTTTTAATATGTACTATTTATGTAGTGCCATTACTTTGAATGGTATTTCCCAGAATACTAAAGTAGAGGATTCCTGCTATCAGACACTTGACATTTCTGAAATATTTCAGTATTCCGTAGCTTGCTATGTTACAATAATTGAATAAAGCACAGAAATTCCCTGATTGGGAACCTGGTTCTGTTAAATTATGTGAGCTGTATTTAAATCAGCATATTAGAATATGCCCCCACCTCCAAATTAATAGTGGAGACTACTTCAACCAGAGAAGTCAGCCATAGCAGAGCACCTGATGAACCAGCCTGGACACAGCATATTATTTGAGAACACAGAAATGCTGGACCACACCAACAACCACAATGTCAGACTACACAGAGAAGCAATTGAAATCCACAAGCATGTGGACAATTTCAACAGAAAGGAAGAGATCATGAAAATGAACAAAATCTGGCTACCAGTATTAAAAAACTCTAAAATTACAACAGCAAAACAACAGAGAGGAAACAACCAGGCACATCTTAACACCTCTCAACAAAAGATTTTCCCAGGCTCAGGCAGGCCTTCAAATGCTAATGAAGGTGGTCAGTTGAAACATTCACACCTAGCTCTAGCAGAGAAGAGCTCTTTGCCCCACCCCAGCCATTCCACAGATATATAAACCCCTCTTCCTAGTTCCAACAGACCTCACTACCTCTGAGGATGCTTGCCATAGATGCAGGCGAAACGTCAGGAGAAATGCCTCTAGAACATGGCCCTATAGCCCGAAAAACCCCACAAGAACCTAATAGTGGAATGTTCTGAACAACCTCCAGTAAGGATGTACTTGCTATTTCTTTCTTGAATATGAACACATCCTAGGATTAATGTTATATTCTCTATCAAATATTATTCCAGTTATGGAACAGTGAATTTTGAACAGGACTTCAGCTCCAGGTTAGGAAAATTGCTTTCAGTCAAGATGTATCAGTAAACTTTTTATCCAGCAGACCAGTCAGCAACCTTAATGGGCTGACATGTTGGTATTTAGGCCAGTCTATAGTTCTATGGTCTTGCTTTCTGGAATGGTGGGAAGGGAATAGGAATGCTGAGAGAGAAGTATTTATAAAATCAGGTACAGCCCCTTTTGATTCAAGTAGTGATGTAAATTGTGGTATTTTCACCAGTACTGAAATATTCAGAATCTTGCAGCGATTTGTGAAACTATATTGTTCAGTGGCAGTTCTGAACACAATCTCACTTTGCCAGAATCCTTGATCTTGCATGTTTAAGGCTATGAACAGAAATATTACTATCAAAACATTGATATCTAGGGACACTGCTCTTTATAGAACATTGGGGTGCAGACTAGTGTCCTCAGTGACAGGACTAGCACTTTGCCAGCCTCCATAGGGCTTCTCTGCTAGCTCAACTTACTTTATTAGAATTGACTCTTTTCTGTCACAAATACTATAACATTAATTTCCTTAACTTGATATTCTCTAAACATGTTATAAACTCCAGGGATTCTTGAATGAGACCAATTATCTTGACCTGTTGGAGTCTGGTTTTAGACCTGGTTACGAAACAGAGGCAGCTTTGGTTGCCTTGGTGGATGACCTCCGCAGAGAGCTTGACAGGGGGAGTGTGTCCCTGTTGGTTCTCTTGGATCTCTCAGTGGTTTTCGATGCCATTGACCATGGTATTCTTCTGGGCTGGCTCTCTAGGATAGGTCTTGGGGGCACTGCATTGCAGTGGCTCCTCTACCTGGAGGGTTGGGCCCATATAGTGATGCAAGAGGATGCCATCTCGTACCCCTGGCCTTTGGCCTGATGTTTCCCACAAGGCTCAGTTTTATCCCCTATGCTTTTTAACATCCACATGAAACCCCTGGGTGAAGTAATCTGGATTTTGGAATTTGGTGTCATCTGTATGCAAATGATACACAAATCTACTACTCTTTCCCACCTCAAGTCAAGGAAACCTCCTGAGTCCTGAACCAGTGTCTGACAGCTGTGACGAGCTGGATAGGGCTAACAAATTGAAGCTTAGTTCAGACAAGACAGAGGTCCTCCTGGTTAGTCATGAAGCCAATCAGGGTATAGGGTGGCAACCTGTGATTGATGGGGTCACACTCCCCCCTGACACAGGTCCGCAGTTTGGGAGTCCTCCTGGACTCAGCGCTGATGCTTGAAGCTCAGGTGTCAGCAGTGGCCGGGAGGGCATTCGCACTGTTAAAATTTGTTGCCAGCTGCAACCGTACCTTGAAAAGCCTGACTGGGTCATGGTGGTCCATGCCTTAGTTACATCTTGTGTGGATTATTGCAATGCACTCTATGTGGTGCTGTCTTTGAAGATGGTCTGGAAGCTCCAGTTAGTACAAAGATCTGCACCTAGACTGCTTAGAGGGGCGGGTTGTAGGAAACATACAACCCCCATCTTATAGCAGCTTCATCTACTTCCGGGCCTAATTCAAAATGCAGGGTATTACCTACAAAGCCCTATATGGCTTGTGTCCTTCCTATTTACGTGACCGCATCGCTCCCTATGAACCTGTTCAGACCTTAAGATCTACTGGGGAGGCCCTCCTCATGAGCCAATCTTCCTGACAAATGAGGTTGGTGGGGACGAGTGAGAGGTCCTTTTCAATAGTGGCCCCCTGACTCTGTTATGTTCTCCCCAAGGAAATAAGACAAGCATCCACTTTGTTTATTTTAAGAAGGAGATAAAAACATGGCTATTTAAGCAAGCCTTTGAGAATGGTTAGATTGTATCTATTGGACAGGATTTGAATGACCATGAGACTAATTGTAACTGCTGAATAGTTCAATAATAAGAATGACTGGTTTAAACAGTGATATATAACTAGATTGCTTTAAAGGGAAAGTAGTTTTTAATTGTTATTTATTAATACCTATGCTATTTTAAATTGTGTTAAGTTGATGTTTATTGTTTATTATTTTTGCTATACTATTTTTGTATCGGTTATTTGTTGTAAGCTGCTCCCAGTCCCTTCAGGGAGAGGGGTGGGGTGTAAATAATAATAATAATAATAATAATAATAATAATAATAATAATAATAATTATTATTATTATTATAGTACAGTGTCAGTCATTCAAAGGTATCACAGACAACCGCTGAGAGTAAAGTTATACTCCAATAAACGTAGTGGGTACCACATGGGGAAAGTTGTGGTACACACTAAATGTGCTAGATGTAACAGTTGCCTTTAGTATTTGTAAACCTGAGTTACTTATTGGAAAGAGGGGAGTATGGCTCTTTAAATATTGTTGGACTGCAGGTCCCAACAGCCCTATCTTTATATAGCCAGTGATAAGGAATCATGGGAGTTGAAGTCCAACACCTAAAGGGCCACATATTTCCCATCCTTGTGTTATATGGTAGAATATTATCAAGAAAATTCCTACTCTATAGAATTCAGCATTTCCACGTACAACTTACAGAGCCACCTTCCATTAGCATCTGTCCAAATGGAGAGAAGAAATGTAGCAGTGATCAACATCTAATCAAGAATCCAGGGTGCCAGGAAATATTGAAAATCTCCCTTACTGCGGCTGAATCTGGCTCTCAACTTGATGTCTTCCACTGGGGAAAGTTGTGGGTGTAAATGGTAATTATTCTTCCAAATCAAGGAAAACTACAATTTACACATTAGAGGCAATTTAAAACTGAAGATTTTGTTCTGGAAAGAAGTAAGCAAGCAGAATAATCTAAAACAAAGAGTACCATTTCAATTTGGGGAGGGGGAGGAATTCCCAAAACAGGGATATCTAACAGCTATCAATGAGGTAGCATATGCCTTTTTTTGGTTCTGAATATTTTGGTTCCACCAGCCTACCCTGTCTGCATATTCTAAAACTATATCAGTTATAGAAAGACAGAATGGGGGCAGTTTTGTCACATTTAGCTTCTGTAGATTTTTTTTAAAGTGGCTTGAAGTGTTCAAATATAGAATTACAGATGATAATGAGAAAAATGCTGCTGGGACTAAATTAACATCTTTCTGATATGTGGGAGTTAGTACTGAGAGCAAGATGATATGAGTCACTTTCACTCTGATGTTAAATATATGTGGAAACCTCCTATTAGTTTCAGTGGAAATGACTTTCATATTGGGGCTACATTCCTGTTCACACATCTGGGAACAAACCCCAGCAACCACTCAGGGATTAATGTAAGAAACCTGAGGTGAACTTGCATTGGGTTGTATCATAAATGTACATAAGATCCAGTCATGATCCGAAGATCATAGGAGTAACCATGTTCCCAGTGTTCATGCATGGTTGCACTTAGGCTTTGTCCATCAACTTCACTGGTATCTGCTCCTATGTATTTCACTTTGTAAACCAACAAACCAGGAAATGGCTGTTTACCGGTTCATATAAATGATCTGCTGTTGAACAATCTGAAATAAAAATGTCAGAGCCGTGCACTATTTTTGTCTAATTCCATCATATTTCCTTAGCACAGGGTGGCTTTATGAAGAGAAAAAAGTCTTCTGCTTGTAGGCTCTGCTTGTAATGAGGAATGCTAGCATTCTTGATGATCTGGAGAGCTTCTGAAAGAGGATTGAAACAGGAATGGTACAAACAGGGCTAGTGGACTCCCTATCCTCACAATGTTTGCCCTTTTGAAGTCTTAGACCATTTTATAGGGTTAATGGAATGGGAAGAGCAATGGGTTCATGCTGCAACTCCTAGCAGCTAATCTTGCTAAAACACAAATGATTAAGATCTATCAGTCTGATGTGATTTCAACACTAATCCTTAGAATTTGAGGTATAAGAGATTTTTGCCATGGTGACTTTAGCACCGCAAAATCGCTAGGTCTATTTTATTTATGTCTTGCCTTTCTTCTCAACATACCACAGACAGATTATACATAAATCAAAATAAGGTGCATGGTTATTGCTGGCAGTGGCATCACTAGAGCTGCTGCCACCAAAAGTGGCAAATCATGGTGTCACTTCCATGGACTTTCTCCTTTACAAGACACTACAGAATCTTTAGTAATGTTTTTGTACAAATATAACTTGTAAATAATAATTCCCATGCATCACATCATATAATAACACAATCAGCAACTTTTAAAAAAACCAACATAATGAAAACAGGTCTTATTGGTGTGATCCGAGTGACACACTGGTTACGCAAAAGGAACGAAATTGTACCAAAGGCAGATTGACATGATATCAAAGCTCTGGTTGGAGTATGTATGCATTAGAAGATTCATAAAGTAAATAGACATTGAGTTTTAGCCTTTAGTTTTAGCAATACATGTACTGTTTTGCTACAGTACATGTAATCTGGATTTATGAAAAAAGTGGTTATATCTAACTACATTTTTTTTAATTAAAAATATTTAATTTATGCTGAAACATGCATCAATTTGTTTTATACAGAGTCATTTGTATGTCACCCCCTCTGAAGCTGTTATCTCATGCAATTCACAATTTAAACTCTCTTCACTGATTGAGCATCCCTTATCTAAAATATTTGAGGGCAGAACTTTCTGGGATTTCAGATCCATCCCTCCTTAAATGTTGGTATATTTGAATACATATAATGAGGTATCTTGGAGATGGGACCCAAACCTAAACATAACATTCACAACATTTTGTTTCATTTGCATCTCATACCTATAGCTTGAAAGTAATTTTATACACAATATTTATAACTTTGTGTATTTTAATAAGGTTTTTATACATTGGGGAGGCATCCCTTGTTGAGAATTCCAAAATATTAAATACCTCAAAATTGTCCACATAGGTGGCTGAGATAGTGACATCTTTGCTTTTTGGTGGTTCAGTATTTAGAAGCCCCTCCATAGCCACAAATTGGAGTATCTGCGGATTCAGCTATTACATTGGGGTTAACTTAGCCAGGATTTCTACCTCAAAGTGATGTGCTAATATGGCTATTGTTACATATAATGAGTCTTGACAAAGCAACTTTGGTGACTAAGCAATTGGTCCCATAAAATGGGATTTGTTGTTGACTTACAGATCCTAGAACGTACAGTGGTGGATCATTGGATCAGACAGCCTGTGAGTCAATGGTAGAGATGGAAAAGGAAAAGGGAGATACATTTTTGGAAGTAAATTTATAAAGTGTAAGCCTGTTACAATGAATGGATCATAGGGATCTTTTATTGCAGATCATCTCCCTTTATTTTGTTTTTCTCTTGTCTGTTAATTTATTCATTTCTTTGCCACTGTGTATTTAGAGGGCAGTTAGAAGCAGAAGAAGAGATAAAGATGAGAAGAGTGGAATAAACAATAGGGATAGGTCTACGATACACTTTGCCATTGATTTCATATGATTGAAAACTATATATTGTTAATGGCAACAACAGCGCAAATCTGTCATGGAACTTTGTTCTAAAGAATAGCAAATAGACAAGGAATAAAAGCCTTAAATCAAATGGAGTGGTCGGTCCTTCTGGTCTTCAGGTGCAAGAACAGGGTTCAAGAACACATGTGTTTAAAAAACCCTCTGATAAGCCCTTTGTATGACAAAGCAAAAGCAAGAGAACCTAGCTAGCCTATGTCAATGTGAGTAGGAGCAGGTTTGATCCTTAATAGGCAGGTTCACCAGGGCTAGGTTAATGTAGTTCCCATTTCAATTATTTTTGCAGGGACATTGCATTATGAGAGACACTGTCATTGATCTCTATAGAAATAAATAAAACATTTCAGGAACAAAGTTGTAGCAAAAGAGAAATACTTGCTACCCTCTTTGTCACTGCTTGGTTTCATATTCTAAGATGGGTTTGCCATTCCATTTTGAAGTTAGCTCTAGAGTTTTGGGAGAGGACCAGATGTCACTTCCTGCAAACAAGGAATCTGATTGAGGTTGTGGAATGCAAGGTGTTTTTTAAAAAAACATTTGTGTGTTTTTGTGTGTGTGTGTGTATTACACACACATACACACAAACTCTCCCACCTATTTTCCCCATAAATCTTTAAAGTTTTTTTTTTAAACTAGATAAAAAAGCAACTAAAATTGATTTATCACCTCTTTACTTAAGGGCATGTGGTCAAAATACTATTACCATACTGCTAACTTCTCTTACCAACTTCTCTCTTTCTGTCTTATGGAATACAAGGTTTGAGAGGGCAGCATATGTTTCTGGCAGCACTATATTTGAGGGAACAAAAATAAGAGTAAGGCTTTTTAAAAAACAGGCCAGGTATCTTACCCATTGCTCACCAATAGTAAGAGCTTCCTATCATTCTTTCCACTTCTTTTCTCTACCCCACATGACAAGTCTTTTACATGATTGCAGTATTTATTGTTACATCAAACTGGGGAAAATTCTTGTAAATATACTGACCCCCAATTATCATTTTTCACTATGTATCTTGCTAAGCTGTGTATTTTAATAAACTTAGATGTATGTTTATAAAACAACCCACATGACTGATGAACTACTTGACCAAGTTTTGCTGTTTCTTTGGTTGGAAGGTGAGGGGCAGAATGATTGTCCGGGACAGGAAAATTAGGAGACAAATTGTGTCTGTGACTTTAAAACTATTTCTAAAGAAGAGTTTGGAAATGCATTTTTGTGATTGATTTATCATTTTAAATATTGTATGTGTCATGCATCTCCTTGGCAGCCCTGGAAGGATGAAAAGCAATAACTAAATTGTTGTTGTTGTTGTTGTTGTTGTTGTTGTTGTTGTTGTTGTTGTTGTGTGCCTTCAGTAAATTTCTGACATGCAGTGGGAGTTCTCTGGAGCTTAGAGTGTGTGACTTGCCCAAAGTCACCCAGTAGGCTTCCTTGGCTGAACATTGAATTAAAACCTCATGAACAGAACCATAATCAAAGCTGAAACCACAACACCATAATAGATTGGATATCAGTGGGCTATTGGAAAATTGGACAACAGTGTGTGCACTGGCGTTCTACTGTCAGCTGGTACTTCATGGAAAACTGGGAATGGCCCATAATGCCTATGGCAATTCTACAGTTATAGCACATACATTGCTGCCCTAATGGTGCTAGCTAGACCAAACCAATCTAGAATGAATTTCTCTCTAAGGTGGCTGGAGGACTCTGGAAGTTTTGAAACACACCTGGACTACACTCCTATTATAGGTCTCTGACTACCATGGTAGAAAGCTACAGCTATTTCCAGAAAATTGTCTCCTACTTCCCACAAGCAATTCTTCTCACAAAGGCCACATGGCAAGATGCGTAGGATCCATATATACTTCTTGGACAGAGGGAAGAAGGGAGCAGGAGAAGAGGAAGAAGTCACTCTTTTTTCAATCTCATCTTTCAGGCTTCTTCTGAGGGCATTCGGGCCAGGTAGACTTTGGTCTTTGATTGCAACCTCCTAACCAACATTCATCTCAAATTGCCATCTCCTTCCCACTCCCTCTGGCTTCCCAGCAACTGTGTGGCCAAGGGCTGCATGTGTCCCAGTTGCTTGGAAACACTATAATGGTGTATCCATCGTGGATTTAGCTTCAGTTCATGCTTGCACAATCATTTTAACAGTTTCTAGTTTGTGCCCTGATAACTGTGTTATCTGCTCAAGCGTAGAGGTTGACAGCTTCTTGTCGCAACTTTCCAGGCTCTGCTCAAAAGTATCATGTTTTGTGGTTAATTATTTTAAACTAATAGGATAGGTTTCCCTACTTTCCCTGAATGTGATATAATGACGAAAGGCTCAGGTAAAAGATACTCATGAAATAGGAGCATATTGTGGGATGTTTTCATTATGATGTTTTTTGCAACTTGGTAAACTTTGGTGAAAATGTGAATGGATTAGGCAGTGGACAGTGAACAGATAAGGAAGAAAATGGTTCAGCAAGCAAGTGTTGGCACAAAAAAGTGTTTGTGGTGTTCATCAGTTTGTGGCTATACTTTTAAATGTCTTATGAACAATTGATTAGTACATTTCCAATGAAACTCAATTAGCCATGGGCTATTCTTTATAAATAAGACTATTTGGACACAACACATTGGTTTTATTATCCCAGACTATGCAGTTTGGCATCTAGACTCCACTTTGTCTTCTTTTGTTCAGTTGTAATGAAGGATGTATTGGTACAGGAGTCCTGTACCAATACATCAAAAACTATAGTTGGCGGAATAAAGGCTAAGTATCTCCTATCATACTTATTGCCAGTCTGCTCCATATTATTCCCCGTGAAAATAGTTTTTTTCTGAAAAGGAAGAGGAATAGAATATGGTGGTGGTGTGTGTATGTGTGTGTGTCTGTGTGTGTGTGTGGGGGGGGATTAGTTGTGACTTTCCAGTATTGTGCATGCTTAAGCCTTTAGCCTCTTGAGTAGCATTCATAGAGCTTATTGATCAAACAGATCTGACACTATTACATTGAATAAAAGACATGAGTTTGTCCTTTCCTATGGAATTACATAGTGGGATTCACCAGAACATACTGTCTTGGAAGGATGCCTAAACCTGTTGAAAATATATTCTGTGTAATTTTTTAGGCTACCATTCCAGGTAATAATGAATCTGGGATGATCAAATGGGTTGAGCGGATGTCTATAACCAGTGCAATTTTTCTCACATGATTTCATTGACAGTTTTTCTCCCTGTGGTATTTTTCTTAGACAATCTGCCTCATCTTGATCCATCATCATTCCAGGATAGTAGTGTCTCTGAGGCTCTCTGATAACTTTGACATGGTACAGAAGATTTAAAATTAGGTAATTGGTCCTCTTCATATAGGTTAGAACTACCTGTTTCATTATTTCTTTGGTTTTGAAACTTACCTTTAATTTTCTTCTGGCTTGTATGTATTCTTCTTTCAGCTGATGTTCACAAGGAAAAGAATCACGTGATGTATGAAGGCAAACACATACACTTTTCTGAGGTTGACAATAAACCGTTGTGCTCGTACAGCCCCAAACTGTGCAAGCAAAGACGACTTAACGGCTACGCCTTCTGTATCAGGCACGTTTTGGAGGATAAAACTGCCCCCTTCAAGCAATGTGAATATGTGGCCAAGTACAATAGCCAACGTTGCACCAACCCCATCCCCAAGTCTGAGGACCGTAGGTAAGTCAGGTTGCTACAATAAAAAGAAAAGTCGTATCTCTGTGGTGTTCCATGTTAAATGAAACTCTGTCTGGCCAGTGTTTTAAATTCAAGATCATCTAAACTCCCCATGTGTTGTGCTGTGAGCTTCCAAGAGGAAACATAATATCATTCAAAACATAAAGAAAGAATGTGAATCTGTTAATCTCACTGAAATGAAAAGTAGTCCAACATCCACAAGGTCTGATTCTGCTCCTCATCAGGGCCTGGAGATCTTGGCTGTGCTAGTAAAACCCAGGCCTTGGAGTGTTGTGCCAACGTGTTAAGCCTTCAGTGTATTGCCCCCACAAGTGGACTGCGCGTCTACTGTCCAATGATCAGATTAAGTATGGGGTGCAGGGATGGGAAGGATATTATGATGGCATATATTCTTTACCCTCACAGTAATGGTGTGAAGTAGGTTAGATAACTGAGATTTACCCAAGGACATTTAGTGAACTTCATGTCAGAATGAGGATTTGGGTTGAGGTCTCACCTAAAGCACTAGATCCCATCCAATCTTGGAAAATAAACAGAGTCAACTCTGCTTAGTACTTGGATGGGAGGCTGCCAACAAATATCAGGTGTTGTAGACTATATTTCAGAGGAAGTGACTGGCATAAGCTACCCTCTGACATTCATAGTATTGCTGTAAGTTATTGGCAACTTGAAGGCACATATACACAACTCCCTGTCCCTATTCTGACATTTTCAGGGTTAGAATTGTTTGCACCAAACTAAAAATATCTTGTCCTATTTGCTGTTCAGCTTAGTTATACTGAAAGAGAAAAAACATGTTTGTTCTTTGCCAAATTGTTTTCTATGGCTAGGACTATTGAATAAGATAAGCACCGTAATGTCCATACTTTCACTAATTTACTATTATAAGATTGGAATATTAGGGAAGCAAATTTTCCACAGAAATGTGTTTTAAAATTTTGTTTAGATAAAATTTCTTTTGGGAATTAATTATAATAGCCCCCATGTGTGCCCTTTAAATGCAGCCTGTAATTATACAACTCTTCTGATGTGTATGTTAAATTGGAACAATCTCATATATCTGACTGTAATATAACTCATGTAAAATGTTCACCGTGATTCAAATTAGTTTTATTTTGGCAGGTTCATAATTGGCCATGAGATGCTTAAAATTCCTTTGTTGAACCTTCTCACAAATACTGTTTTTCTCAGCTGAGCCATTGGCATAAAGGGTAGCTGGAAAATATAATTTTGCTTGTTTTTCTTTTGAAAGGTACTGCAACAGTCATCTACAAGTTCTTGGCTTTTTACCGAAAAAGGAGAGGAAGAAAAAGAATGATCCGATAGAGGAGGTAAAAGTCCGGCACCAGATGGATTCCATGGCCTTCAGCTTGACGGTCCCTCCGCTGGCCTTGAAGATGCCCAATGGCCTGGATGGGCTGTCCCTCTCTCCACCAGGAGCACGGCTTCCTCTCCACTACCTGGAAGCAGAGTTGGAAGACCCCTTCGCTTTCAACGAGGAAGACGACGACCTCAAGAAAGGGACGACGGTGAAGAAAAAGCTGCAGAGCAAATTAGCCCAAAACCGACAGCGCCAGAGGGAAACAGAGATCCTGAAAGTTCGCCAAGAGCACTTTAGCCCCCTTCCTGCACCTTTGCAGCAGCAGCAGCCGCCTCAACCGCCGCCGCCGCCTCAGCCGCCTCAACAGCACTCCCATCTCTCACCTTTACCAACTTCTTTAAAGCCAGCAGGGCTACCGCAGGGCTTAGTCTGCAAGTCACCTCAACCTCAGAACACCAGCCTACCAATGCAGGGAGTGGCGCCCACCACACACACTATAGCACAAGCCAGGCAGTTGTCCAACAAGAGACCTCTGCCTCTCCCGCACCCCGCCAAGGCTCCTGCTCCAGACTCGCCCCAGCCTGACAGGATCCTCATGAAAGCCACAGCCTTCTCTCCCCACTCATTGTGTATGAGCCGGCTACAGAGACTGGTGAAACTGTGCACTCAGAAACAGCAGCTGGATGCTGATCTGTTTCCACATTTAGGTAAGTGGAGGACTCACATCTGCTTCATTGGGCTTTCTTCATGGGAAAGTGTTGGGTAGCTGCAAGCATATGTAATTTGTGCACCTCCCAGAGCATGCTTTTTCTATGGAACGGCGGGATAGTAGTTCATACTCAAGTATTCTGCATATTTAATATATTAAAATCCTTCTAAAATTCAGCTTAGTACTAGTCAAACATTTCATGTTTTGATTACCATTTTTCAAAATATGAGGGACTGTTACTGTGAATACTGAGTTATTTAAGCATTGGACTACAAGTCTGGATGCCAGGTTTGAATCCTGTTCAGCTGTAAAAATACACTGGGTGACCATGGGTAGGTCACACAGTCTCAGCCCCAGGAAACCCTGTGATGTGATCGTTTAGGGATGCCATAAGTCAAAAGTTGATAGCACACAACAACAACAAGCTTCAAAAGCAGTTTATCTCTTAAGGGTTTCATATATGAGTTATAGATATGCATGTGATTATATAGTTCACGATGGCAGAAAGTGTAGTAACAAGAATAGAGAGTAAATAGAGAAATGCTTTTAGATGAATCTACCACCAAGAGATGGACAAGTGGCATGTGCTGTATTTTCCTTTGGTTAACTTTGAAAGTATCCCTCCTTGGATTATTTAGTTATTCCATCTCTTATAGTGACCAGACATAAACACAGAGCGTGTTTCTAAGTTTCAGGCAACCAGCAGCTATTGACTGGACAAATCAGTATTTTTAAGCATAGTTCCAAGGTGAAAAGCAGGAGCCTGAGACATTTTCTTAACTGAAGTGTAGAAGGTGCAGGTGCTTACCTACAAAGCCCTAAATGGTTTGGGATCCGCCTACCTGCGTGACCACATCTCCGTATACGAACCCACACGATCTCTCCAATCATCTGGAGAGGCCCTGCTTAATATCCCACCTGCGTTGCAGGCGCGTTTGGTGGGGACGAGGGACAGGGCCTTCTCGGTGGTGGCCCCCCGACTCTGGAACTCTCTCCACAAGGACATCAGACAAGCCCCAACGTTGGCAGTCTTTAGGAAGAGCTTGAAGACGTGGCTGTTCCAGTGTGCCTTCCCAGAATAGGAAACTCCTAGCATCATGTCCCAAATGCACTTTACTAGAGATTTAAGATAGTCTGCACACCGCACCTATCTCCAAAAACCTATCCATTTCACCTGTCATGTCCAGCACTTTTTAAATTTTATTCATTTCATTTGGCCCGGCCTTAGTTTTTAAATGCGTCGTGGTGTTACTGTCTAATGCTTATTGTTATTGTTTTAATGTTTATTGCTTTGCTTTATGAGTTTATTTATTGTTGTATTTGTTATGCTGTTGTTTTATTGATGTGTTGGGCCTTGGCCTCTTGTAAGCCACACCGAGTCCTTCAGAAGATGTTAGCGGGGTATAAATAAAGCTAATAAATAATAATAAATAATAAATAAAATACCCCCCCCCCCTTTTCTGTGCACAAAAGCCAAATGGCTAAGGGACTAAATCTCTCCTCAAAAGTAGGGATGCATCCTTGTTGGAAAGCAAGAATGTCGTTTTCTCCAGTTTTCTCCAACACATTTCTGTTTCCTCTTAGTATTTGCCACCTGAGGTTTTTCTCTGCATATTTGAGCCAGTCTTTATTGTGAATATTACTTACCTTCGTCTGCTGATTTAGGGATGGGTATATCTGAACGAATGCATTAGATGTGTTCCTAGGCATTAGTTTAACAAAAAAAAATTAGGACCAAAGGAAGAAATAACATGGAATGAATAAGGTTGATATTATTATCATGGCCATCATGATCACCACCACCACTACTACTATCACTATCATCCCACTTTCCCCTCAAAATTGAAATTCAAAGAGGCTAATTGGGATAGCAGCTAGGATAGGTCCCTATACCACAAAAATGGGAGAAGTTTAACATGTTTTGGCAGATGTTTTATGCAAAACTAATAATACAGACATTTGAAATGAAGCAACCTAGTTAGATAAGCCTTACATAAGAAAACAGAAAGATTTCGAGACCACTTGAAATCTTCCTCCAAAATGCTTCCAGAGATTTTTTTTCTTCCACCAGCTTTCATGTAATTTCCATTTTGGTGGCTACACCTAAGACAGGTATACTTTTTAAAGAATGGTTCCGGAACTGATTAGGTAGGCTTATCTCTTGCCCTCTTTTCTCTCCATTTTGCTTTTTTGCATGGGCAGTAAGAGATTCTGGAGATAGCTGCTGTTTATCCTGCCAGTTACAAGAAGGCATATACAGTTACAGAAGGATTAGCTAGAGTAATATTCTATTATTTGTTATTATTTATTATTATTACATTATTCATATATTAATTAACTGATCTTTTAACTGATTTTACTTTAATAGAGGTTATTTTGCCCCATTTATATTCATGTTGATGTATTTTATTTTATGTATTATGTATTTTATGTATGGCATCGTTGTGTGCTATTTTGTAAGCCGCCCCGAGTCCCTAAGGGAGATGGTGGCGGGGTATAAATAAAGATGATGTTGATGATGATGTTGATGATGATGATGATTATTATTATTATTATTATTTGCCAGCTCATGCTTTATTGTATTGTACACTGCAGACTTGCTGTCACAACCCAATACTGAAAGTCTCGAGTTTCTCCAGCCAGATAAAGACCAAGGAGGGAAAATTAGGCTTGGCTTATATAAGAAAACTGCATCAAAAGGAGCCTTGTCAGAAACTTTGTTAACTGAAATATGCCTTCATATTAGACAGTTACAGCCCCAGCTTCACTCACCTCACAGTCATATGGCATGATGGAGACAATTTGAGATTACATTTTTGGAGACTTCATGTTACTGTAGGACATCTCCTTGCTTTATGTTGAATACATTGACTTATAATGGAGTTCTGGTTCATAATGAGGCATTCTTTGTGTTACCTGATAATACATTTTGAGTAACCATTGATTTTTTATATCAGAAAGAGCAAGTGTGTATGTGTGTTGTTCATTGCCACAAGAAATCCAGGGATATTTAGGGCTGTCCAGGAATGTCAATTTTATTTTAAATTTTCCAGGGTTGGACTGGTCTGAAGACAGTGGAGAAGAATTTGAAGAACTGGAGCAAAACTCGCCATACCATGTTGCATGGTCTATCCGGGAAGCCCTCAGATATGAAAGGAATGAGTAAGTATATGAATAGAAACAGTAGAAGTGTGTAATTAAAATGGTAGGGAAACGTGTTTACCTTCTCTTGCCTTTGGGGATGAACATATTTTTATAGATTTAGAGAACAACGAGGACTAAGAAATTCAGGATAGTCTTGATTATGTAACGCAGACGTATTAGACTTTATATTCACTAATGAAATATGTGTTTTTATGCCGTAAAAGTATACAATTTAACTTAAATATTTTATTGGAACCATAAGAACAATTATTATAACTTGGTTTCTTTAATAGACATTCACATATATGTAGTTTCTCATTGCTGTTTTGTCTGTTGAACTATTCTTTTCAATAAAAATATTTCCCCTTTTTTCTTTCAATATGATGTTTGCACAGTAAATAGCAAATAAAAAATAGTTGAATGTAAAGAAGTATTTAAACCAAGGATTTTATTGTTAAGAAAAATGTGAACGGGTTACTTGTCAAACAAACATTTAAATAAGATATACTGTATATAATGCAGAAACTGAACAAAACATGATTTGTGATCTTCTTAGTTGTCATCTTTCATAGTGATTCTGACCTGTTTCAAAACCAAAAGCATTGTTTTATGGTCCAGTTGTATGTTCATCATTGTAATGTATTGTAGTATGTGTTGTTTTAGTAAGCCATTGCATCACTGCAGCATTTTGCCTTGAAACTCCTCACTTCCAGTAGTCATTAAATGTTGCGTAAAAATAAGAAGACATAGCTAGAAAGAGACTCTTTACCTGGAGTTGACCTTTTAGTTCCTTTTAAGACTCGTGGATCAGAAAGATGATGGATTGATTTGAAATCACGTGGAAGGAAGTTATAATTGAAGGGGTCCATGTGGATTTATTAAATTTCTGTATATTCAGTCTGTTTAGGAATTTCCAGGGTGCTGATTAATAGTTAAATGTTTTAGACTTGTGTCTTAAAACCCTGTGAACACAGAGCTTATAACAACAACTACTACTACCACTTTGTTTTTCTGTCCCGCCACCATCTCTCCGAAGGAACTTGGAACGGTTTACATGGGGACCAAGACCAACAGAAATAGAATAAAATATAACGCTATTAAAATACATTGTATTTCAATAATTAAAACAATAAAATCGAACAACAGACATTTCTGAAAAACATAAGAACAATAATAACCATCAACCATTAGCCAAGAACAGCCTATTGGATACTCTAGCTGGTGGAAGGCATTTTCTCCAGTTCTACCTGCACCTTTCTGTTATTTCTGGAAATTTGTTGAAAAGGTTTGGAAGATGGGAAGTGGCATTGAAGTTTTTCTAAATTTTGCTCTTTGGAACCAACTGTAGTTAGAAGGATCCTATCCTGAGAGAAATGTGGGGTATAAATTCAATAAATAATACTTCTTGATGGTTCCCAAACCTTCTGTTAGAGAAAAGGCAATTCAAAACCCAACCTAAAAGTTACCACGAGGTCACTAGAATACCTCAAAAACAATTAACTGAACAGAGTAAAAGCAACAATATAATCAGATAGTGAAACATCTCCATGTTATAAAAAGGTGGTGTGTGTGTGTGATGAAGGGGGTAGTCCGAGTCTCTGCCTGATTCCAGAAAGACACAGGTGTAGGCAGCAGGTGGTTATCTCTGGACCATTTAATAAATAAAGGCTATCCAAAATAAATGCAGACATTCCATCAGCTCCCAAGACCCATATTATATAGAAGTGATTTTAGTTGTGCTTGTTTTGTGCATACAAAATTTGAATGCCAACTACTCATTTTCTCTCTCCCTATCAACAGGCCAGATTATGATGATGATGATGATGATGATACCAGTGGCAGGAGTTCCCGCATTTCCCAACTTTGCACTTACTTTCAGCAGAAGTACAAGCACCTCTGCCGCCTGGAGCGGGCAGAATCTCGTCAAAGGAAATGCCAACATACATTCCGGAAAGCATTGCTGCGGGCAGCCAACAGGGAGCCAGAGTGTGCTGGGCAGCTGATACGGGAACTTCGAAGGGCTTCTTGTAGCCGGAACAGGTGAGGGCCTACCTGCACTAGTGCAGCAACTAGAGATGGCTACTGAAAGCAACTGCATATATGTATTTATATATACACACACAAATATATACATACATACACACACATACATGTATGTATACATATACAGACATTTAAGCATGTGTAGACATACAATGTGTGTGTGTATATGATATATGCAAATCAGTCCGTCAATCATTTATTGAATTTGACTAAAAGCTATTACAGATCCTGTAAAACCCAGTGAAAGAATACATACATACATACATACATATATATGTACATGAGTATACATGTAAAAAGTGAATGAAAATGCTACATGGTCTATAACATCTTTTGAATAACTAGAATGAATAATTATAGCAGCATCCACATACTACAGTTAGTTGAAATGATTAGTGTACAGTATATATAGTATATGCATATGCCCCCTGATGGCACAGCTGGTTAAACCGCTGAGCTGCTGAAGTTGCTGATCGAAAGGTTTTTTTTTTAATTTCATTTTCTGTTGTGTCTTTGATTGTTGTTTTAGAGTTATAATGGTTTTATTTCGTGTACTACTACCCTGCCCTGTTGTTGATTTGATATGTGATGTTTTATACATGTAAGGCTTTGAATTTTGCCATTGATTATGTTATGAACCCCTTTGGGTGAAAAAAGTGGTATATAAATGCACTAAATTAATTAAATAAGTAATGATATTGATGCTCCCTAAGAGATACATTAGCATGAGCAGGATCATCTCTATCAAGGTGACCAAGGTGGTTTTTCTATCAAACCTCGATTTGAAACTATGTTGAATTCAATGTATAATTGTACATATCTAAATTATTTATGGCAGCATTGGTGACAGCTCTTCGGGGATTCCCCTCAGAGGAGGACTGAGAGAGTAGAAAGAGTTGGTGCTTCTTTTAGGTTCTCCCAGGACAGACTTAATATTTCACTATTGTACTGAGAGTTAATACCGTAGCTTACGTTTTAGCAAAAAAGGAGCCCTTCCCTTCTCAGAGTAGATTGACATGAGACCTTTTTGAATGCCTGGGCAAGAAAATGGCAGAGATGGCCAGGGCTAGCTGACCTCCTTAGAGGTGATGGGCCTTTCCTCTCTTCACAGAATGAACTTCAACTTTTCCATAGATCCTATTGAAACCCATCATTTTGACTCCAAAACCTGCCCCAGAGAGAACGCGAGAGGGAGAGTCACCTTGTGAACAAATATAGATGTGGCATTTTAAATTAGAAATGATGTTATGGATTGGTTATTTTTTCATGTATTGGTTTTATATGCTCTTTTAATTGAGATTATGTGTTTTAACTGGTATTGTGGGTTTTGAATTGATGATGTTTCCTGTTTCAATCTAAAAAGAGAGGTGGTAAGAAACAAATACTGTAATTAACTTAAAAATATGGATACCAAAGGTCTGGAGTTTTGTTTATACACTTGGTTCTGTACGGGCCTTCAAACGGTTTTGCTAATTGTTTGATTCCACAGTACATAAATTGATGGAGGACAGGGTTAGGGTGGAAAAGGTACAGTTTCCATGTTCATTGTGCTATACTTGCTTGTACTATATGCTAAAGGGTAATGACTGGATATTGATATCAATGCCATGACATTATTTGCATCAGAAGATTCAGCTAGACAAGAATTATTGACCTCCTGAAATGTCATGTCGAAACTTATCTTCCCGATACCTTTTTGTTTTCAGCACAAGCCAGGTGAAGCAGAGGGATACATCGGTGTGTCGTGGAACCACAAAGGGTGAAGCATGCACCAACAAGGCTCTTCCATTCACAAAACATTGTTTCCAACGTATCCTTTTCACTGCACTCCTCATAATCAGAACTGTTATAGTTGCCTTATTTTATTTGAAATTAATGCCACAGGATTCCTGCTGATTTCTCAAAATCTAGTTTATCGATTCCTTCGTCATATTGTGCAGCAAAAACCAGAGTTTAGTTGTAAGAATATGTTAGGAGGTGCGGTGCAGGAACTATTTAGAACTGGGTATTTAAATCTACTTACAGTTCCATTTTTAGGGTCTAATCTGAATACTGTGATTAAACACTACAACAGTATGAACTGTCTAAGAGACCCACTGCAAAGCAATAGAACAAACTTAGTCATACATATTCCGTTATTGATTATATATCAAAGCATTCAGATAACATTTCTTGTGGTGAGGTTGACTGGTTTGATTTCCGCAGAGAATCTGAATGATCTCATCATTTAAATTGCTTTCATGGTTTCAATAGGTTGTGCAGTCACAAAGAATGTGAGGCGGCGAAATGACTTAAAACGAGTGAAAGATGTCCAACCCTGTAGTATCAGTAGAAGAGAAAGAATGAAAACCCTTACATTAGAAACCTTTAGAAATGAAGAGTCTGAGCATTAGTATATGGAATTGTAACAGCAAAGTCGATAAAAAAGAAAAGATTCAAAAATTCAACAAGTTTGGAATTTTAATGGGTTCTCTTGCATTCCTTCACTTTATAATTTCACTTACAGTACCGTAAGTCTCTTTCAGGTTTTTTCCCCCTCTTCCATTTCTTAATAATGAATGTTGCATCAATTTTACAAATACTTCAAGCATTGAAGGAGTTATGAAAATTATGAAAGGAACAATGGAGGCAAGGATGCCTAAGTATAGAGGGGGACTTTGCAGATGAGATGATTAGTTCAGAATGGCTGCTAGCCCATCATAGGAAGGGTAGGAGTTATAATGTGAGATAAACTAAAGATCGTTAAGTTTATATATCTTTTCTAAGCCAAAGAACTTCACATTCAAAATTCAGTTTATTGACTCCCCTGTGCATCTTCTTTCAGGAAGTCAGGGAGAATAGTGCAATTTTTATGTCTTCCCATATGTGGATGACAGAAATCCTCTTTTTAATATTTTAGTATGGATTATCATTAGTTGAGAAAGCAAACTATTGATTGCATTGCCGCCCAAATGACACTATTGATTACGAATCTCCAGGAAACAGGCTCATGAACTCATTAGCAAAATAGCTTCTTCCATAAACCTTCTCAATAAATTATAAAACATTAGCAGTTCTGGTTCATGCAATTTTTTAAAATTTGTTTTTTTGCTTAAACTGTTGACTTTGCATCTTCCCGAGCTTGAACTGCAAATGATACTTTAAGCAAATGATTAAAAGCTACAGTAGATTGACTGGTTGAAAACAGCTGAATTGGGGAAAGATAGAAATAAGGATTATACTTTTATTTTCTGAAAAATAGAGCAGACTGTTTTCTCCTTCCCAAAATGTCATGTTTTTCCTGACACTGACATATATAGATATCCTCTTGAACCGGTCACAGCAGCTTTTCTCAAGCTGCACAGCCAAGTTTGCCGATGGACAGCAATGCTCTGTGCCAGTTTTTGACATTACACATCAGACACCCCTATGTGAAGAACACGCCAAAAAGATGGTATGATTATGTGTTGGAATATTTGAAAATTGTGTAAAATAGCAACAGTATTTTCAGCAAAAAATATGGTAACTAGAGTTACCATATCTTCCTTCAGAGGACTCTAATTTGGGGCTTGAGTGCCTCTATGTTGCATCTGTCAATAATAATAAAGAGTCATATATTAAAGTTTGCTTTTAAAAATGGAACTATAAACTTACAGGATTTTCAAAACTTCAGAATTCATTGTGCAGTTTTATATCTCATTTCCAGAGGTGTTTGCCATTTGCGTTGGCCAGTGAAACACATCTTCTAACATTTTCCCCTGTCTTTCATTCTGCTAAGCACAAGAGCCATGTGTCTCAGTACTCATAATAAAAACCGAGGGTTTGATTTGTCTAATTCTGAGACAATATTAGTATTGCCTTTGAGCAGCTTCTTACTTAATAGCTCGAATTTCAATTTTTTGCTTCTGAACAAGCTTCAAGAAGAGTCCTTTTAATGGTCCCTGTGCTTTTGTTATTTTGCACCGACATTTGCAGTTCCCTTTGGAAAAGCATTGACTTTCAACTGATATTGGAAGTGCTGCATAGACTTTACAACAGAAAAAATGTAATTTGATCATTTCTAACCTTAGTGTTGAAAATCATTACTTCTGATTCAGTGACATCTTACACTAGTGCAACTGAATTTAGAACAGTTTGGCTTGAATGTGCTTTTGAGTCTCTTATTTCCTAACATTTTTGCAAGAAAGAACACAACTTATTAAGTTTCAGAGTAGATTCTGGTCATACATTCTTCTCTGAGGACCCCTTCTACATTGCCAGATAATCCAAGTTATCGAAGCAGAAAATCCACATTATCTGATTTGGATTATCTTAGTCTACACTGCCATATAATCCAAAACAGATTGTGTGGATTTTATACAGCTGTGTAGGAGGGGCCCAATTTTCATGTCACGGTAACATTTTGGAATGGTATGACAAATGACAAGGACTTACTACACTGCGTAACAAAATTTTAAAACATTTTCTGTTCCTGGTTTGAAAATGTTATTCCCGTTTAATTGTGCGGTACTTGCCGTATATACTTGAGTATAAGCCGACCTGAATATTAGCCGAGGCACCTAATTTTATCACAAAAAACTGGGGAAGCCTATTGTCTTGAGTATAAGCCAAGGGAAATGCATCCACTATGGGTCAATTTCAAAATAAAAATAGATACCATTAAAATTAAAATTAATTGAAGCATCAATAGGTTAAATGTTTTTGAATATTTACATAAAACTGTAATTTAAGATAAGATTGTCCAACTCTTATTAAACCATTATGCTAACCTACTTCAATGTAAATATACTTATTATTAAAATAATAAATATAATAAAAATAATAGAGTGAAATAATGAAAATGCAATAAAACAGTAATAATAGAGTAAAATAATAAATGTAGTAATAATAGGGTAAAATACTGTAAATGTAATAATAATAATAATAATAACAATAATAAATAGATTAAAATAATAAATGTAATAATAATAGAGCAAAATAATAAATAGAATAATAGAGCAAAATAATGTAAATATAATAATAATAGAGTAAAATAATAAATGTAATAAAATAATACTAATAACAGAATAAAAGAATAAATAACCTTGACTCAAGTATAAGCCGAGGGGAGCTTTTTCAGCCTAAAAAGGGGGCTGAAAAACTAGGCTTATACTCGAGTATATATAGTACTTTGAAAGTAGTTGTTGTACTCCAGAATCTTGGTTTTTGTGATTGCTATAAACTATGTTGAATGGGTTGAGAACACTATAGCAAAATGTGCTGCAGGACGTTTCACAAAAACAAAGTTTTTGCATTTTAGTCAACTTTTTTTTTCATTTTTTAATGATAGACCAATTAGGAAATAAAAGACATGTATAGCCTAGGAACAAAAATAGTGTTGCATAGTGTTATTCTTCATGTATTTTTCCATTCTCATTGTAAAAAGGATAACTTCTTGCGAGGAGACAGTTCCCGTAAAGTTCAGCACCAGCAGCAGAGGAAACCCAGGAAAAAAACAAAGCCACCTGCGCTTACCAAAAAACACAAAAAGAAAAGAAGGCGAGGGCCACGACGTCCCCAAAAGCCTATTCCTCCTGCTGTGCCCCAAGGAAACCTCAGTATGCCCACCAGCATCTCACTGCCAATGGAGATATCCCATATACGGTGAGTGTTTAGCAGCAATTAATGTTTGTCTTGACCAACTAGCATTGTTCTTTGTCAACCTGCATGAGAAGTGGTTAAACAGTTTCAGCATTTTGCAGGTTCTTACTTGATAGTGTGTATTGTTGAACACAATGGGATTTACTTCTGAACAAAGACTGGAGTAAGCTGAATTTTTAACTTCCACACAATGATGAGCTAAAAAAAACAAAACAAAACAAAGAGCTGAATGGTTGTAGGCAGTCTTCCCATCCTCTTGCAGAGAGGAATTTTCCCTCCATCTTAGCATCATACTGGTAATTATTGCATGGCAGAATTAAATCATGTTATAAGAGAGCTTGAAAGAGCGAGCACATGTGCATATTGGTGTGCACGTGTATCCATCTCACAATAGACCAGTGCTGCGTAAGTAGGCATGATATCAAAGAGAAGGGGGTGACTGGCTTCCCTGTGTTCTTAGGAGCCCTTCCACACCGGAGCTGAGTACAGATGAACTGCCCGATGACATCGCCAATGAAATCACAGACATTCCACATGACCTCGAACTGAATCAGGAGGATTTCTCGGATGTCCTGCCGCGGCTGCCTGATGACTTGCAAGACTTTGACTTCTTTGAAGGTGCCTTTTCTTTCTTTTCTTACATGAAAAGGAGTGCTTACAGCAGAAAGATGAACAGCAGTTCAAAATCAGTCATAAGATAATATTGTGAGCAGAGAAGATGTAACTTTATATTATTTAAATTTTAATTGAAATGATTTATAAAAAAATAATCAATGTGAGGATGAAAAAATGGTGGCTGGGAATCCAGTGCCAATGTTAGTAATCAGGCAATGATGGGCTAATTTGTTTTCAAAGAAGTAGCTATGTTAGTCGCCTGCAATATAAAAAGAAGAAAGAAAAGAAGGAAAAAATGGGAGTAGGATAGTATGTAGTAGGATCCAAAATCCTATTTTTTTTCTACTTCCTGTTACATCCTTACCTACTCCCACAGCTGTATAAATGTGATTTCTATCTGCATATCACTTGGCACTGCATCCAAACAAGTGGGTTTATGCTATGAATTCCCATGCTATAATGAAAACCCATTAATAATAATAAAAAAGTTGAGTGTTGGGAATACAAAAAGGTTTGCAAAATGATGTTAAAAGACTTTGTAATGAAAATTAATTGTGCATTGACAATCATTAGAAAATTATTATTAGGAAGGACAAGGCCATGCTTTATTTATTTATTTATTTATGTATTATTTGAACTTACATGCCGCCACTCCTCTGGGGCTCGGAGCGGCTTACAAGAACAGGCTAAAATCAAACACAATTTAAAACAATTTAAAAACAATCAGAGATCAAAGGCCCGTCGAAATAGATATGTCTTCCATGCCCTGCGAAAAGCTGATAAATCCCGCAAGGCACGGACTTCAGGGGGCAGAGTATTCCAGAGTGATGGTGCCATTGCTGTGAAGGCTCTGTGTCTGGTTGCTGTTAGACACAAGGTCTTGACACTGGGAATTTCCAATAGATCTTGGTCCACAGAACGGAGGGATCTCTGGGGTTGGTAGGGGGTGAGGCGGTCCCTCAGGTACATTGGCTCCAGACCATGCAAGGCCTTAAAGGTGAGTACCATCACTTTGAAAGTGATCCGGTGCTCAATTGGTAACCAATGCAGCTGCAGTAAGATTGGTGTTATGTGGCATCTCATCGGAGTTCCCACAAGAAGCCGAGCAGCTGCGTTTTGCACCAACTTGAGCTTCCAGATCACCGACAGAGGAAGGCCAATGTAGAGGGCATTACAGTAGTCCAGTCTTGAGATGACCGTAGCCTGGATCACCGTAGCTAGGTCGTCCCTGGACAGATAGGGGGCCAGCCGTCTAACCTGCTGCAGATGAAAAAAGGCGGTTCTGCTAGTGGCGGTGACCTGGGCCTCCATCATCATCAGAGGGTCCAAAAGGATTCCCAGACCCTTTACCAATGGTGACGGGCGTAGCGCCTCGCCATCCAGGGTAGGCAGCTGGAGATCCCCACTGCCCGGTTGACCCAGCCATAGGATCTCCATCTTTGCTGGATTCACCCTCAACCTGCTGGCACGCAAACATCCAGTAACGGCCTCGAGGCACTAATGGAAACAATCAGGTACAGAGTCCGGTCGGCCTTCCATCTTCAGCACCAGCTGAGTGTCAACAGCATACTGGTAACACTCAAGCCCAGTGCTTCCTAGATTCAGAAATATTTGTTGAAGTTATTTTGTGGCCTCAAAATATCACTTCTTGTGATATTATCTTGGTATCTGAAGGACAGCTTTTGGTAATCTCCATCCCAGTTATTCTCTGCTTTTGCAATGCAAAAAATGACAGAAGGGTCTTTTCAACTGTGGCCCCAAGGAAGAAACATCCTTGGAATTCTCTACTCGGAGAGACTTTCCTGTTCTTCACTGTCTTGCTGGTTTAGTGCCAAGTGAAGCCTTTTTCCATTTTTTGTAGATCTCTTAATTTAATGTAACTTTAACACTCCTTCATGTGTTTTATCTAGTTGTTGTGATGTGTTTTATTAAAATAATGCTTGGAGCATTATTGAAGAATGTGACAGAGCCATATTAAATGAATATCTAAAATTCAGTGAGAGAAGTCATGTAAGATGCTGGACAGAGCAGAAAATCAATGTTATGTTTTCAAAAACTATTCATACTTAGCAGCTAGAGCTAAAGTCTGTTTGAAAATCTTCTCCATTACATTATGTAACACAATTTTTGTTCCTGGGTATAAATGTAATATCCCAATTGGTTCTATCATAAAAACATGGAAAAGTTTATTAAAGTGAAAAACGCTTTATTTTTGTGGGACATTCTGTAGTACATTTTGCTATAGCTTTTCAATGAACATCTCATAGAGTCTCAACCAATTCAACATAGTTTGTGGCAGCCACAAAAACGAGATATCTGCAGTATAACAACTACTTTCAAAGTATGTACTACACAATTAAACAGGAATAACACTTTCAAACCAGGAACACATTTTTGTTTCCAAATTTTGTTACATAGTGTTATTAAATGCATGTAGGTCCTTGGTGTTAAATGTATATATGAACTATACGAATCAATTGACTTTTTCATACATATGCATATGTACATTCAATACAGGTAAAAACGGAGATCTCCTCCCCACTACCGAAGAGGCAGAGGAGCTGGAGCGAGCCCTGCAGGCTGTAACTTCTCTCGAGTGCCTGAGTACCATGGGGGTGCTCACGCAGACGGATGGTGTGCCGGTCCAGGAGCTCTCGGAGAGAGGGATAGGGGTATTTTCCACAGGTGCTGAAACTTCAGGAATTCCATCCTTGAGCCGGGAAGTCAATGCAGACCTAGGCGAGTTGCTGAACGGGCGTATCGTACATGATGACAATTTCTCCAGCCTGGACCTGGATGAGAGCTTGCTTCGTTCTGCTACTTTATCCAACCCCCCCACGCCCCTGGCAGGGCAAATTCAGGGGCAGTTCTCTGCCTCCGCCAACGTTGGCCTTACTTCTGCCACTCTGATAAGCCAGAGTGGGCTCGGGGAGAGAGCCTTCCCAGGACAATTCCCAGGACTTCACGATGGCAGCCATGCCTCTCAGAGGCCACTCCCTGCCCAGCTGCTTAGCAAGGCAGATGACCTAATCACCTCACAACAGCAATACAGCAGTGACCATTCACACTCCTCACCCCACGGAAGCCATTATGACAGCGAACACGTACCATCACCCTACAGCGACCACATAACGTCCCCCCATGCCTCCTATTCTGGTGATAACCTGGCAGCTACGTTTTCCACAGAGATGCCCATCATAGCACAACATTTGCTCCCATCGCAACTGGAGGTGCCGCTCGGTGGAGTGGTAAACCCCAGAACTCACTGGGGGAGCCTCCCGGTCAGCCTCGGCGACCCTTCTCCGTTCAACAACCTGCTTGGTGCAGATGGACACCTCCTCTCTACTTCCCTCTCCACGCCGCCTACCACGTCGCACTCAGAGACCACACAGCCTGCCTTCGCCACTGTGACCCCCAACAGCTCCAGCGTGCTTCCGGGGTTGCCACAGACCAGTTTCAGCGGCATGGGTACGGCATCGTCTGAACTCATGGCCTCCACATCCCCCAAGCAACAGCTCCCACAGTTCAGTGCCGCCTTTGGCCATCAGCTGAGCTCCCACAGTGGCATTCCCAAGGACTTGCAGCCTAGCCACAGTTCCATAGCTCCTCCAACGGGCTTCACAGTAACCGGTGCCACAGCTACCAGTACCAATAATGCATCTACTCCCTTCACCACCTCCAGTTGAGCTTGTCTGTTGCTCTGAATTTCAGACAGTTGTGTTCCCTTCTATCCCATCTCACCCTATCCATCTTCTTCTCTTCCTGGTTTTTGTCACCACCTTTTTAAAGACAGTTGGGTTTTTTATTTCAAACAACAAGAGTGAGCAAGAAGTCCCAATTTAGGACAGACCAGGCTTTTCTTGTCGCTAAGCTCTGCTCTGACGATCTTATGTGCTGTTTATGTAATGGTGCTCATTTACTCCTGGCAGGTTTGCTGTATATTCCCAGTTAATACCCCAGTTAGGAAACACAGCACAGATACAGGATGTCATTGATCTTAGGCCAAGAAATGAGAAGATGGATGTAGTTGACCTTAGAACCAGAATGAGAAGATACCTCAAATAAAACTAATGCAAGTTCCTAAGGTTCTGATCAAGCTTTCAGTCCCATTGGTATCTGAGGAGGAAGTGGAAAGCCGTTATATTTTTAGAGGTGCAAATGGGGTGAGAGGTAAATAAACTCTTTTTTGTTTGGTAATTGGTAATTTGGTAATTGGGCAACATAGAATTAAGCCAAGGCTATGGTTCACTTGTTAACTCTTGACCTTCTCTTTAAGTGTAGGGGTGTGTGTGATTCTGTGTGTGTGTGTGTGTGTATTTGATGGGTAAATGACAGTTCTTTTCTTTCCTGAATTGAAGAAGTTCTTTCTCAAAACTAGTGATTCTTTCTCCTGAAAGCTAATTTGTTTTCTGAAATTGGGTTTATTAAATAAAAGGAAGCTTAAAATCAACATAACATGCCAGATTGTGTTTGTTGGTCCAGAGTAACCCAGGTGGCCACTGGAAAGCTTTTATGTACTGGAATAAACTATAATGATATAGTTGTTCAGATGAAGTCTAAATATTCACTGCAGCTGATCAATTGTTAGTAAGTTGGCTTTTGCCAATAAAGTACTGCGTGAATTTCTCCCATGGGAATAAATTCTTGAATGAAACTGGCAGAAATATTATGAACTCCCTTTTCGATCCAAATCAGTTTAGATAAGAATTTCTGAGTGTTTTTATCAAGTTGTTGCTTTATGCTTCTGAAGATCCCTAAAGCAGGGAGAAACTTTGTGGTGTTCCATAATATTTTTAAAATATTAAATATTTTTTAAAACCATATAAGCTGCTGAAAGGTTTTTATTCTTCTATGTTTTATTGTTCAAGATTTTTTTAAAAAACTCAGTTTTTGTTTTTGTCACTTCATGAAAAGCTGCAACAATCAAATTTTAAGGATGGGTATTACGAGGGCTAGTACCTTTGAGAAATATTCTCAAACAATCTTCAGTTTTCTCCTCCTTCCCTCTGTCTCTGAAAGTGGCCTTGTGCTTGTGGTGACTTTAATTCTCCCAAAAATATTTTGTAGCTTATGAAATTTGTTTTCTCCTGGAATCAAGTTCAACATGGTGGAACTAATCTTTGCTATTTGGATTGTATTTCACTTGTTTTCCCTCTCATGGGCAAGGAAAGAATTGTCATCTACTCACAAGAGGAGGTGTCATTATGTTTCATGGCAACAGGCTCAAACTGTACATAACTTCCTATAAATTTCCAATATGTTAAAAAGATATGAAGAGAAGACATACTCTGGTAAACAATTTAAAGTAGTTTGAGATTGGGAACAAGAGAAAGCTCAGATTTTTTGTTGTGACTGAAGCTGTTATTTTCTACTGTAGCTTTTGTATTCCATTTACAATGGTGCTTATATGAAAAAATGTAACAGAGATCCCTCTGATTTTAAAACTTTTTGGAGAGCAGAGATTCCAGGTAGTGCCCATTGATATCCCACTGATTAGAGCTATTGCTTTCCTTAAGAAAGCTGTGCTACTGCTGCTTCTTCTTGAAAGGATCAGGGACTGAGAGCTAGCTCTTGCAAAACGTATGTAGCTGGAAACATTCTCTGATTTGCACTTTGTGACTTCTTACCCCAGCTGAAACCCAACTGTATAACAAACATCTTAAGTGCAGGGAAAAGTCATATTTGGAATATTTTAAGCCACAGGAAAAAAACGAGATAAAGCTCCTTACATCTTCCTTATCTGTTTAAGTGCACAGTGTTTCGTGAAAGTGGGCTCCATTCAGCAGGGTGCAGTCTCTCCTGCTGAACCCACATGATCAAATTTGTATTTGTGCGGATCATTTTGGTTTTGCTCTGGTCCTGTCTGTCTCTTTGGTCTGTAAATTTTGAATGGATAACAATGAAAGGTTCTCACAAGATAGTGATTTGGTTCAGCAAATTGCAAGCTCAGTTTTGGTCATTTATTATGATTGTTGTTTGCCCTGACTTTGTCCTGGTACCTAAAAATGCAACAGAATGACTGGGACCTTTTAAACACTACTGTATCCTGTGCACATGAAAGGGATGCCCAGTTGTCTCCTTGGTGTGCACCCTCCTCCAAACATTGGAAATCTTCCGCAAATAGCTATGGGACCCTCCAGGTTGGTGTGTCCAGAGGGGAAGTTGGTGGAGAATGAAAACTCGCCAGTTGCAATTTTGCCACTGACAACACTTCTGCTGTTTCTCAGTTTTGTTCACAGCCTAGCTTTAAACACCAAACAATAATAGCCCTCTTGACATTCAGTTTGAAGCCTTGCCTACCTAACATGACTGGTTCTATTTGATTGTGATGCTAAGCAGTAGTTGTTATAACAGGAGTGGACCTTTCTATTTTTCTCTTTGCCTGGAGTATGTGTCACATTGCTATTCACATCACAGCTGCAACGAGAAGTTTTTTTTTTTGACTAATCACAGTTTGTTGTGTCACTCAAACTGAAGGAAACTGGTTAATCTTAACTAGAACACAACTTGACTTTGGGTTTAGGAAGCAAGTGAGTCTCAACAACACATAGATTAACTAAAGGTTTGATGACCTACAAGTTGTAGTTAATCAAAAATAGGCTGGAGATGAGTGGAAGTACAAAGACATGTGGCAATAACACATGGTTTCAGCAGTGGGAAAGTATGCATATTCTTTATATGTTCAGGCAGGAGAAAAACTATATTTTAGACTGCACGCGAGCTAGTTTGAAGAGAAGAAATAAAATCCATTTTAATCTCAGTTTTTCTATAGAAATTTCAGTATTTTATTAAAATCTGACATGCAGCAGACCCCCTTTCTCTGTTGCATTCAGCTTACTTTGGCTGCTCCTGTAGATGCTTCTCCTTTTTCAAAATATTCACAGGTAAACAGGAGTCCTAGTATTGTCGAAGGCTTTCATGGCCAGAATCACTGGGTTGTTGTAGGTTTTTTCGGGCTATATGGCCATGTTCTAGAGGCATTCTCTCCTGACGTTTCGCCTGCATCTATGGCAAGCATCCTCAGAGGATCTCACTACCTCTGAGAATGCTTGCCATAGATGCAGGCGAAACGTCAGGAGAGAATGCTTCTAGAACATGGCCATATAGCCCAAAAAAACCTATAACAACCCGGGAGTCCTAAGGCTACAAATTTACATTAATCAGTATTTAGGTCCTCAACATCACAATATAGTCTGTGGTTTTCAAAGGCACCCTGGAAATTTTGAATCACAGTTTTAATTTGTTTTCATTTCTTGTTCTTGTGAGTTATTGCTTCTATTGTGGAATTGGTGGTAACATCTAACTGTACAGAAGTAAGTTACAGTAATGCAGAATCTCATGTTTTCCTATGTGGTTAAGGTTATGTGTGAGAGGGTAATCTCCCCAAAAAGACATTTCCCTGAGCCAGTGAGGGCAAGCATTATATTATTTCAATATGCTTAATAAAATAGCCTGAAAATAACACCTTCTTTAAAGTATGATGCTCATTTGAGGTCGCCAATATTTTATTCCAGGATTTTTAACTTGATTCACAATAAATATTCTGTCTCAGAAGCAAATGCAAACGGCATAGTTTAAAGACGCATAACTGGTTGTGTAGAACTTTATGTTTAAATAGCCCCTAAAATATGATATCCACAAAAGAGTGACATCTTTATTGGCTAGCCAAAATGCAGAAAGCACATCATGCAAGCTTCACATAGTTCTTCATCAGGTGAAGATGTTAAAAATTATTCAGGAGAAAAACTGCAAGTGTGTTTTGAGTTACAGGCCTACCTTCTATCAGGTGTTTCTCTGTTTTCAATTAAGATGTTTTGAAGGATATCATTGCAGGCCCAAGCTATTTCCCTTCTTGATCTTGAAGACCAGTAAGAGACAGGTGATAAAATTTGAGCTCTATTAGCAGCAGAAAAGATTCAGCTGTCCCTGTCCTATGCAAAGTTAACTGCTCTAGGAGTGGCCCCTGTCTGCATTGAAATATTCAATATTTCCATTCAGTACCATCTTAATCGACCACAGAGTAACACCTGAGAAGGTAGGCCTGTTCTTCAAATATCTTCACCTTTTCCCTCCTATATATATTTTTTAGTATTTTTGCCTGTTTGAGAAGCCAGTGAAGCATTGAAAGCTTACATGATGCATTTTATGCAGTTTGGTTGGTTAATAAAAGTATTACTCTTGGATTTTGTTGTATTTGGCCAACATGGCTTCTCCTTAATATGTTTTCTGGATTTGAAAATATTAAAATATAGTAGAAACAGTGGTTCTTCCCACTTATGTCCAACTTTAGGAGTGAAAAATGAATATCTGGTTGTTGTGACTTATTCTTCTTGTAAATGCATTCCTCTATGAATCCTGACTGTCATTGTTGTCACTGTTGTTGTTTTGGTTGTCAACATCTTAGCTTTTTGTTTGATTCCAAATTAATGGTGTGTAGAAGATGTGGGTATGCACATACACACAGTAGAAAGGATACAGGACCAGGACTCCTTTTCATTGCCACTGGAGGGCAGCATTTGAAAAGTTTTCCCCATCTTTTCTCATCGTGGAATCAGAGGATGAATAAAAAAGCATTTTGTTTTTTTCTGGAATTTGCGAATGCTAGGAAAGCTAAGGGCCCTTCCACACAGCCCTATATCCCAGAATATCAAGGCAGAAAATCTTACAGTATCTGCTTTGAACTGGGTTATCGGAGTCCACACTCAGATAATGTGGGATTTTCTGCCTTGATATTCAGGGATATAGGGCTGTGTGTAAGGGCCCTAAGGCCGAAGGAAAAAGAGATGAGAAAATAATTCAGTGTAACTCATCTTCAAATCCTAACAACACAATTCCATTGTAGACATATAACCACACAATAATACACGAGCTGAGTTGAGTACATTGAATTGGTTGACTGTTCCTCCCTCTCTCGCACCCCAAGTCATAAAGCACCCAGATCTGTGTTGTCAGAAATGTAGTGATCGCTTTGACTGAGGATGGTCTGGCTGAGCCTGAGATTACTGAAATAGCCTGCCGATTAAGTGGATCCAGTCTAAAGAGAAGTGCAGTTGGCTTACACTGTATGTGATTATTTCCGTTGAGGAAATGGGGCTGAATCTACCGTTTTTTCTCCAAATGGTGATAGTAATTACTGTCCAATTTGGGGCACATCTCAGGGATTCCTTGTTGAAATAAGAGCCGTTAAAAGTAGTTTTAAAGACGTCATTTACAAAATGTGAGCGCTGGAAAGAGAATGCTTGGTTTTTGCCTCTAAAGGAGCGAGCGTGTCGGCCTCCGTACATGTGTATTTCTCTTTCGGAAACCGCTCAAGCGCAACATATAGAGTCTTTTTCCTCCCATCATGTTTAGCTTTAAGCTTTTATTTAACAATGCCTTTCCCGTTTCTGCCCTGCCTACAACCCTAGGGTTTGGAAGACTTATTGTAGATTTTTAAGAGAAAATGTATATTAATTTATGCTATTAACTTCACCTCATAAATTATGTTTTATACTAAAAAAAAACTATTGAGTGTAATGAATTATGTTGCATATGTGTATTAACAGTTATGAAATTATACACATTTTTAAGAAGTCATCTCCCCACCCTATGTAGCACCTTTTTACACTGGATCTTTGCCGTGTCAAGGGGTACAGTTAATGCTTTGCTACCTTGCAGATATAAATATATAAATAAAAAAGTATAAAACAGA